AGCGAGCGACCTCCCTCCTGATTGGTGGTTGCTGCTTTAGCCTTTGTTTGTAAGCAGGCATGAGGAAGATGGCGGAATGGTCCGATTTTCCAAATGCCGGCAGGGGCTGAGCCTTGTAACAGTTCTTGAACGGGGTGTAGCAGTGGTCTAATGTCCTCGTGCCCCGGGTGGGGCAGTTGATGTGCTGGTGAAGGTTGTGAAATGTCCGTTTGAGATTCACTCTGTTAAAATCTCCCATAACAATGAGTGCGGCATCTTGGTGAAGTGTTTGTTGATGTGTGAGAGCCTCATGTAGCTCACATAAGGCAGTGTCCGAGTCCGCGTGAGGCGGAATGTAAACAGTGCAGGCAATGACCGCAGTGAATTCCCGAGGGAGATAGAAAGGGCGACACTTAACGATCAAAAGCTCCAGATTGGGCGAGCAAGAGCGTGTGAGTGGGGAGATGTTTGTGCTGTCGCACCATCTGTTGTTCACCATCAAACACACTCCACCACCTCTTTTCTTCCCCGACTCCATTGTCCTGTCCATGCGGTAAACCGAAAAGAACCCCGTCGGCTGCACGGCGTGGTCTGGTATCGCTGGGTTCAGCCAAGTCTCGGTGAAGCAGAGGAGGTTGCAGTCCCGAATGTCTCTCTGGAACTTGATTCTGGCTCTGAGGTCATCAAGCTTGTTCTCGATGGATTGAACATTGGCTAGCAGGATACTGGGCATGGGTGCGCGGTGTGCGCGAGCCCGTAGCCTGTTCCTGATGCCGGCTCTTTTACCTCGAGGCCGTCGCTTAGGGTCGCGTCCTTTGTTCTCTCTCAGGATCTCCTTTGGCCAGGTTGGGTCCGGAGTTAAACATGGTGAAATGTTCGTGTATTGCAGACCAATAGAAACCAAAGTGTCTCTACTGTAGCGGATTTGTGTGTTTTGCATGATGCCCATGCAAGATTATCGCAGATATAGCAAAAAGTGACGAAAAACTGCAAAAAGTGGAGAAGTTGGGGCAGAGCATCCAGCACGGCAGCCGACCTCACCGGCGCCATTTTATTTTAAGTTTACTTTCTACTTTCCCCTAATGCACATGAAATTTTGAAACTGAAAGCGCAATTTTTCTTCATTTTTTTTAAAGTCAAGCATGCCAGAAAAACTTTGAGAAACACTGAGCTAAATCTAATTAAGGAGAGATCAGTAGAAGGATTTAAATATGATTTATTGATGTACAGAATTCAGTTTGAGGTATTTAGTCTCTGATGGCCCATCACAGTGGACTGGAATCACAGCTGTGATAAGGATTAGTCTGAAATCTAGATGCTGGTGTTAGAGATGAAGATAGAGGCTTGAATGTGGCCTGAGTGACGAAGGAGAGGCACAGATAGGAAGGAGGTGGGTCGCACAAAGACGTCTGCAAGGGAGAGTGATAGATGCACAGTGAGATTTAAAGTAGGTGGAGTGGAGGCTGACTGGCCTGAAGAAGGCTGACAGAAAACCGACCAGTGATAATTACAATAAGCTTGACAATGTGGGAAGTGATTTAAAGTTTAGATTAGCTCCAACACCTAAGTAGACAGATGTTTACACCACATGAAATTTTACTTGAACCTTTTTCTAGGAAGGAACTATCATCTTGAGGTTTTGATTCAAATTCGGTCCTCGGGTTATACAATTTAGTGAATTCAGTTACACAGTCATCACATCAATTCCCTGTTAAAACCATGTAATGCCTAATAATTCAATATTTGTTTTAATTTGATAGATACAGTCATCCATTTTCTACCATTTACCCTTGTTTGTCCTTCCTCTTATTTTGACAGATAGTTTATTCTTCCCTGCCATTTGTGTTCTTGCTTCTTGGCCATGTGGCCTTTTGGATTTAGAAACTTTCCAGTTCCTGCTTCTTCCTGCACACACATGCACTTAACACACAGCCACAGAAAAGAGTCAACTTGTGCATCATGTTGCAGTCTAAGCACTGTACCTCAGTAGTCCTCAACCCCCGGTACCGGTCCGTGAGTCGTTTGGTACTGGGCTGCGAGAGTGAAATTCATGGTTTTTAAGGTTTTTTCAGCGGTTTTGTAGCATTATTTTTTGAATCATTTTTAGCGTTAACTCAGTTTCCCTAGGTATTTTCTTGTGTGTCACGAACTGGTTTTATTTTGTTGTATTTATCCGTGACACCTTAAAGGCTGCTCTGTGAAAATATTGTCGGACATAAACTGGTCCGTGGCGCAAAAAAAGGTTGGGGACCGCTGTTGTATCCGACTAAAACATTACACATTCACGGAGATATTAAAAGTTGGCTGTTCTTGTTATAAATTTAGAATACTTAATGCAAACGACCTTGGTCTATGTTAATATGATTTTTTTCTTTTCTTTTGTTGTTGTTTTTTTGTTATAGTACATTGTTAATTGTTAATTGTCTATAATTTGCTGATCTGTTGATTTTTAATGTCTTTTATATCTACATGACTGGCGCGGGTATTAAAATGAAGTAAAAGGTGTACCTCTTGTGTGCAACTGAATTATTTTCTAGCTTAAAACCTGCCCCCAAAATATCTTTGCACAGCTATGGTCGTCACAGTCCTGCAGCCACACAAACCAGAGTTGTGCTCTGCAAGCCATTGGAAATATTGAGTTTTACAAAACTCTAGTGAGGTTGTTACATCCTGTTTCGTTGGTTTTAAGTATTAAAGGATTTTACACCATTTGCTTTAAAAAAGAAATTGCTCAATCCTGCATGTTAACATGTCTATACAAACCAGATTTTTGAATTTGTTTTGCAATTTTAACAGTAAAACAAAAACCAAAGAAAACTAGCCCTGCTTTAAGATCTCAAAGCTGATTGAAGAGCAACTTCTTTGTTGTCCACATTTCTTCTCATGCATTTGGTATCTGCAGTTTCTGCCATGAGGTGTCAAACCACACGTGAGAATGGCTGTCTTTCTGGCCACCTTTTTGTTTTGTTTTTAAATCAAACACCTGCACAGTATACACGTAGTCTCAGTAAGGTTTTTTATTTGCCTTAAATGCACATAAGAACATTTGGTTAAAGTAACAAATCTGTATTTTTTTTTTCTCTGCAATGAAATTCTAATGTTCTGATTATTAATTTACCATCCCTGCAAGTGTTTTGTGTATTATTATTGTTGTTATTCTATGAATTCTCCTTTGGATATGATTTCTAGTGTTCTGTTTTTGTATTCCAGTTTTGAGGTTAGTTCTGTGTCCAGTCTGTTTCCTGTTTTACTTTAAAGGTCAACATATTCTGTTTTGCTTCCTCCCAATTTTGTCTTCGTAATTGGTGTCAGCCGTGTTTCCCAGATGTTTGCTCTCTGCCCTGTTCCCCACCTGTATTTAGTGTCTGCTTGTGTTCCGGTTCGTTGTCGCGTCGTCCTTCATTCTGGCATGTGTGTTCTGTTTTCATGCCCTGTTTCTAGTTGTCCCAATTTTTTTCCTGCCTGCCTGCACACAGTCTTGACAGCTTGGGTGGTGTTGGCAGCTTGTGACCAATAACAAACATGAACAAGGCTCCTCGCATCAGAATGAGCAATTTTATTTTACTTTTTTCAAATATGAAAGTATAACATAAAAAATATATTTAAGGTTAAATACATAACACAGGTTGAAATCCAGACAGTTTCTACAGACAAATCATTGGTATGAGTGTCATTGCAGTACTATACTATCAAACAAACACTGTGTAAATCTTACGTTCATCTTTGCTGATCAATAAGACCAGAAAAGTCATCAAGATATGCAATTGCTGTATATCCTTGTGCTGTGGATCAGTGAATCGATGTCACGTTCACTCTTTGCATACAGCTTGATTTCATCCATGTATAGGGAAGTGGCTGGTGTTGGGGAGTAACGGAATACATGTACCGCCGTTACGTATTTAAAATACAAAATAAGAGTAACTGTATTCTGTTACAGTTACTGTTTAAAAAGGTGGTATTTAGAATACAGTTACTTTGCTGAAATAAATGGATTACGCTCTCTCTGCGTGTTTCCTGGGTGAGAGAGGCCTTTTTGTTGTTGTTGTTGTTGTGCTAAGCTAACAGGCAGAATGCTGCAGGTATAGCCCTAAAGGATGTAGCCTCATGGGCAGTGTAGTCCATGCTGCAGGGAGAATGGACTGCCATACCCGTTATGTGTCTGTGAGCGAGGGAGGGAGAAAAAGGAGAGTGGAAAAGTACGAGCTGTCACGGAGCAGAAACGGGAGCTGGAAGCATGTAAATATAATAATAACCACTGCAGCCAAAAAGAGTGCCTGACGAGCCCAGTTGTAAGTAAGCTATTAAGACTCGACTGTACACCGTGTTCGTGTTTTCCCTCCGGAACAATAAGTTCCGTTGCAGCAGCCTTTCAACGCCTCTCTCTGTCTCTCGCTAGCAAAGTTGACCCAGACAACAAAGTAAAGCTAGTTTTCAGCTACGAGCCCAACACGAACCCGACATATTAGTCAGAGGTCCCTTTACTACGGTTTGGAGACGCGGACCTTCAGTAATAGTAATAAATCACACAGCAATAGTACATTCATGTAATTGTAAACAGCATGATAATATATTAAGTAATCCAAAGTATTCAGAATACGTTACTCTCATTGAGTAACGTAACGGAATACATTACAAAATACATTTTGGGGCATGTATTCTGTAATCTGTAGTGGAATACATTTTAAAAGTAACCTTCCCAACACTGTCCGTAGCCAGTGTTGTTGATGATCTCACTGAAGGGGTTCATCCACATCCACAAATACGTCAGGAGGATGGCTTCATCCAACCACGTTGTGAAGTGATACACACAATGTTTCTGCTCACAAGAGATGTATTTATTTGACAGTTCTGCACAGGAGACAGTCCGTTCCGGTTCAGCTCTCCCTCCGGCTCACCTCTGCCGTCACTATATAGACAAACAGAAAAGAACACACTGTCATCACACCATCGCCACCACCTGTGGCTCACTTGCCTCCCGGTACCGCCCCCTTGAGCTCACTGCACCACTCCTCCCCTGTAGCTGCGCCATGGACCACACTTCCACCACACACGTGCTCACTGAATACCTCAGGCAGCAGAAACCCAAGAACCATTATGGAAGGACAGGCTCCTGCACAGTATGTACCACCGGCAGATAAAGGATGTGGCTGACATCCAGAAGTCCTACCAGTTGCTGTACAAAGCTGGACTGAAAGGACGCACAGAGGCACTAATCATGGCAGCACAGGAACAAGCTCTGAGCACAAGATCCATAGAGGCTGGGGTCTATCACACCAGGCAATACCCCAGGTGCAGGCTGTGTGTAAAGTTGCCTCTGAGCCAATCCAGCACATAACAGCAGGGTGCAAGATGCTAGCAGACAGGGCATACATGGAATGTCATAACCAGGTGACCGGCATAGTATACAGGAACATCTGTGCTGAGTATAGCCTGGAAGTCCCGAGGTCAAAATGGGAGACGCCCCATAGGGACGTTAGCATAGGGCTTAAATCTCTCCAGCCTCATTGCCTCAAATCAGCTCCAGGTGAGTGGAGCTGTTGAAGGTATGACGGCCCTGCCCAGGGGCAGATATCAAGGAGACTCAGGAACATGGTGGAGGTTTCCATCCACTCACAATGACACAATGTAACATTTTCAGACCCACTAGTTGGTCTGGGTAAGCTAGAAAATATCTGACCAGTCTTTAGGTTTTGGAGATAGGCACTAAAATGTGTGAGATTATAAGGAAATAGTTGGAGGCTTTGACAGAGTTTGTAGCATTCACCATATTTGACATTAGATGAGCAAAATGAACAACTTAAAGGGTTGCATTTACTGTATTTTGAAATAAAACACTACTATTATTAGGGAACTTTGCATTCCCTACCCTGGGCTAGAAATAAGTGGTAGTTCCAAACAAATGCTATCCTTCAATAGGACTAAGGCCGTGTAAAGCGAGAAAGTGAAAACTTTTCAAGATAAACATACATAAATGAGCCAAATATAAAGTCTTTAGTCTTTAATAAACATTAAATAAGCATAACCATATAAAATAAGGTGCGCTGTTTCTGCTCACTACAAACACTATGTATAGTATACACTAACAAGCCTCAGCAATGAGGCCAGGTGTTCTGTGCAAAACACTCATGTCTCAGTCAACTAATGTTTGTTAGCTTCTTACTGAATGTGTAAACTACATGTAATGGAGAAAATGAAGGAACATTAACCCCAAATAGACAATCAATCTAGACAGGTAACAAGATTAAGTTAGACCAGAAATGCAATCCTCCCAATTGCAAGTAGAATATTAAAACAGAAAGGGGGTGTGCAATGTTTTTAGTTTTTCAAGGTGGGCATAATAGGAAAAGTTTGGGAACCAAAAATATTGCCTCCTACCTTCTCAAAAGCCCAAAGTCTTGGGTTCCATAATTACGGACTTTTGCGAGATCTCGCAAACTTTTGCGAGATCTCGCAAAAGTCCGTCTTAATTTTTTTTTCTCCCATGTCCCCTGCGGGGCTCCGTACATAATTGAGTGAAGCAGATACACAACATTAAGTTCTCCTTCATTTTGAAAGATTTGGATGGATGCCTACAGGCAGGCGTCAAAGTGCTACACTTGCACAAAGTTAATAACAAGTTGGCCACATCCGTACTGATATGAAGATTGAAGGCTTAATGCTTTATAAACCTTTTGCTTCAAAAGAGGACAAGAGTTTGCCCAAATCCTATTTTTTAAATGAGTCTGTATGTCTCAGACTTTTATTTTTGCTCCTAGTCAAATACAAATACGGACATAAGAAGCAACAAGTTTAAGGTACAAAAACCAAAGCCAAAAGAAGACTACAGGTGTGATGTGAAACCCGATAGAAGATATTTGTTTCAAGAACACACTATTCAGTGTGTTTCCTCCTTCTTACCATGTGATCAGTATCAGCAGTGAGATGTTAAACCACAAGAGAGAAGTGGCATCTCATTGCCCAGTGAGCTTTATTATTTTGTTTCAAACATTTAAAGGTAAGTTCACATACGCACATACTCTTAGTTTTTTTCCCATCTTTTTATGTTCATTTCATGTACAAGTCTTAGCCATCTGTTTAAATTATTATTGATTATTCCTGCAGTTTATCATTGTACCTCAGGATCTACCTGAAGGATCTAGGACCAAGCAAAAAATAGAGACTATTGAAGGAGACTGGAGACTTCCGGAGCTTGAATCCTTTAATTGTAAAAGACCTGAGGAATATAAAGGGACGAGACTCCTTTTATATTGATTATAAAATTGAATAGACCTTTTGAATTAATGTAAGCTCATCTTAAAATGTACCATTAAACTAACAAAGCTCTGTGTGAGATACAGGGAAAATATTACATGTTATGATCATTACATTGTGATGCATAACTGTATTGCAACTTCAACTCCAACTTTACTTTGAGAAAACTGAACAAGAAGACAAGTTAAATGTTTTTACACATTTTGAAAACCAAAAGTTTAAAACACCTCTGTTGCTATTTATTCTACATTTTTGTGTTTTCATTTTTGCCAAAATGCATTTCATCAAGAAGCCTTACCTCTACAAGAAACAACTAAAACCACCCTTGTGGAAACAAAGCTACAATTAACTGAGGTTTGAGAAGGGGCTGAACTACTTCAAGCTAAAAATAGGTGTGCACTTTCTGCTGTGACAGTGTAGCAGCACAAAAACAACATGCACTCAGGGAAAAACAAAAGCACAACTGTCATTTATGTGCATGAGTATCAGATCTTTCATCATGTCAAACCTTCTGAGGTAAGAAATTTAAACTTCTACACGAGAAGAGCTTGTATGTTTTAACTGCAGCTGTTTAGAAATAAATGTTTATGACATGTGTTCTTCCCAATTTAAGATTACATTATCATATTACACTCAATAAAGTTTTGAATCTCACTCACTCTTAATATGTAAAGTCAAAGTACAAAATCAAAATAAGTCACCTTTTATTTATTTTTCTCCCATGTACCAAAAACAAAGGAGTGTATTTTAAGACTTAAATGGAGTCCCGTTTTAATAGGAAAGCAATGAGGAAACAAATAATAGGATGCTGTAGCAGAAACAAAAAAGTCAGATACAGAGTTATACAATATCAGCAACTATAATACTATAATAATAGTATTATAGTTACTATATACTATTATAGTTACTATTATAGTTACTATATACTATATATATACTATTATAATACTATAATAATAGTATTATAGTTGCGTCACTACAGTAAATCATTATGGTGAAGCAACAAAACTAAAATAGTAGATGTTCTGAGTATGACTTGTTTTGCTTGATTTGTTTTTCATCTTTGGTGTACAGAAGGCTTCTTGTATCACTTGCTTTCAGAAACATACATGCACATATTGTACATGCATAAAATCTGTGATAGTGCTTGGAAAGAAAATAACCTCAGTGCTGAAAAGCAGCTTCTCTGTTCAGCTGAATGTGATTGAGAAGATGGCCTCTGTTACCACCACCGCTGTGTTTCTGCTCTGCCACTTCTTTATTGCCTCCACAGGTACGGTACAGCTAATCTATTATTCCATCAGGTTTTTATCTTAAGCTTTAAATTCCAAACTTTTTCATTAAGATTTACAAGGCAAAAGTATTTTTAACATGTCATCTGCCAACTTAATCATTCTTGAAGACTCCAACATATACCATAGAGGTCTGCTGTCTTGTAACACCTGTAAAATACCCAAAACATGCCATGATGTTTTATAGTTCCCTGTTTCTATATCTGATGATGTGTTGTCATCATAATGTTTCATGGCTTACCTATTTTTGTCATCTAGCTCTTCTGTCATTTTCCACCTTTCTTTCTGTTCAAAGACTCTCAGGATGGTTGTGATGAGTATGCAGAAACAGGCACAAATTTTACCGTGCTACTTAAACACACTTTGAAGGAATCTGAGAACCTGAGATGGTTCCACAACACAACAATAATCTTTAATAGCAAATTAGACAAGGGGGGCAAAGGAAAAGATTTCTTTGTTGAGTCAACTGGATCACTGAAGCTGACAAAACTCACAAAGGACAAGTCAGGACTTTACACTCCTATGGTTTACGATGAAGATGGAACATATGTAGAGGATTTACCGAGCTTGAGCTTATGCATATTAGGTAGGTAACAATAAATGAACGTGCTTGTTAGAGTTTATATAACACAGCTAATCAAATTTTTCATCTGATTCTTCTGTTTTTCGTCACCTTTCTTTCTCTTTCAAAGACTTTCAGGATGGTTGTGATGAGTATGCTGCTGCAGGCACAAGCTTTACTGTGCCACTAAAGCACAAGTTGCAGGAATCTAGTAGTCTAAGATGGCTCCATGTTACAAAAATAATCTTCAAACGCAGAAAGAAACAGGTGATCACAGGGAAAAATGAAGATGTTGATTCAACTGGATCTCTAAAGCTGACACAACTGACCAAAGACAAGTCGGGACAATACACCCCACAGGTTTATGATGAAGATGGAGTAAGCGTAGGGCATTTACAAAGTTTGCGTTTATGTGTATTAGGTAAGTAAAAATAGTTATAGTTATGGTTATATATATATATATATATAAGCTAACAAGGGGCAAACAAGCGGGTAATAATGTGGTAATTTATTACCACTCTACCACAGGTAATTGAGTGGTAATAACTTAGAAATTACCACATTATTATGTTCTTGTTTCTTCCTTATTACCCTACTATTAACACTTTATTTCCAAGCTGTATGTCCACATTATTACCCCAGTTTTGGGGCCCTATTACATAAATTTCAGAGTAATAATACTCAACTGTCACCATTGTTTTTATCATGATATTACTTGGATATTACTTGGTTATTACCTTGGTAATTGCATAGTAATAACTAAGAAATTACCACATTATTACCTTCTTGTTTGCCCCTTGTTACCCCACTATGACCCCTTTATTACTGAGCTGTAGAAAGTGCTACCACATTTTTTTTTTACTCAGATCGTGTGCAGAAGCCCAACGTGTCGGTGAGGTGTACAGACTCTAAGACAAATGTCAATTTTACTTGCAATGTTGGTCAGGTGAGAAAAATATTTCATGTGGTTTACTGATATTTTATTTAGAGTATTTTTTTTTCAGACAGTTAACTCATATATAAATGTTAAAATAATTTGTAGACAAAGACTATCCTCACCTACTCTCTCTGAAACTCAGCATGAATTAAATGAAGATAATTAATTATAAGCATTCAAACACAGATAACAACATTTTATTTCTATTCATTTTTTCATGATGTAGGTGTTTCAGTTAAGGCCAGTCATGACGTTTGCTGTGTTGGGCTGCTGTAGGCAGTTATTCTCTTTTTCTCAGGTTTTTAAGTCATAGCATGAGTCGAAGGACTCAAATTCCACCAATCACCTTTTCACAATTCTTTTTAAAGATTTTTTTCAAGTTTTTGAAATGACACTTACTGATAAAGACCCTGAGATATGGAAAAGAATTAAGAATAAGTGTTCAAAATGTGTTGGTCTGTTCTTGAACTTTTCTTTGGTTTATGTTTTATGAGACATATTTTTAATGACCCTACAGCTCATCAATAAATTATATTTTCTTTTACAGAATGAGAAGAATTTTATGATCGAATGGTTTATGGATGATGAAAAACTGGAAGAAAAAGAGAAGACCCTGACGAGAGTAGCCAAAGATGTGGCAAATGCCCGTTTCTCTTGTAATGTTTCTAACCCAGTCAGCTCTGACATCAGTCTGCCTGTTCAACAAAACTGCTATGAACTCTGTAAGTATCCGGTCTTTAAGTCTGACGTCATTAGCCATGTCTGGGCCCAAACTCCGCTGCAGGTCCATAAGTCAAACGATCCCTGCAGCATTACTGAAAGTTGAAAAACTCTCAGAAACTAAATTCTTTCATCTGTGATAAAATGATCAGCATTGCTGGTCTACCAGGTGTAACAATAAAGTTTAACATCCAGGCATCCATGAAAACAGAATTTATGAAATTTAACAGAGAAGTTAGCAGGGAGTTAGCTCGCTAGCTTCCATCTAAATATGATACACCATGTTCTAAGAGTTTTCTGAAACAAATTAAAACGTACAGCTCTGCTATCACTTCCGACATAAATGAAGACAGGGAAGTAAACAGCAGTGACGTTTGTAGGGTAACTGAAGTTGGGCGAGCTGGTATTTAATGATGTGTTGCGTGATCGCTAGCAACACAGCTATGTTAGCATAATATAAACAGTGAGGCTCGTGGGCGAACGCTAACAAACGGAGGACTCTTTCCACTCAATAAAAGCTAATGTGAGGTTCCCAATGGTCGGGGACAAATGTACTCGAATGGCAGGATGCTGTAAAAGGACCAAACTTCAGTCAGCAGAAAACTGAGATAATCCATCCACAATACGAGGTTAGTCATTAATATACTGCTGCATGGGCTGTAGTTACATCATAAGGGTTTAAAAACAGAACTTTGAAATTATTAGCAGAAATAAAACCCGAGAGAAGCCGACAGTGATCATTGACTGTTTTTAGGGGCTTGTTGAGATTAAATAGAACAAGATACAAAGCATTAAAACATGTTAAAAACACAACAGCCTTATTAAATGCAGACTACTTTGGGCCCGGAAGCAAGATTCATCACGCCATCACTTAAAGACCGGATTAGGTTATTCAGTTTCAGTTCCAAGTGTCTAAACATTTACAAATCAAACACATTATGCTTACAAGTGCTGACAAACTGAAGTCATTTTCAGTGCATATTTAGATTTGCAATGCTTGCAGATTGTGGTCTAAAGGTCGACAGCAAAATATGGTAGAGCATTGCTTATCTTATTGCCTTTCTTCACCTTTCTTTCTATTTCAAAGACTCTCGGGATGGTAGTACAGTAAGTAAGAGACGCAGGTTTTACTTTAAGTGACTCAGATGACCTGAGATGGCACCACAACATAATAATGATAATAATAAAATGATGATATTGATTCAAGTGGCTCTCTAAAGTTGACAAAACAAAGTTGACAGTACAGTGCTATGTTGTTTCAGGAAGAGAGAGGAAGTGTGGGGTTGTTTACAAAGTTTGCGTCTGTGTTTATTATGTAGATCAAGTTGTCTTCTTGTCCCAAATTTATGTTTTATGATTTATCTAATTTGTCATGTGATTGTGTGTGTTTTTTTTCTTATTCTTTCTGATTCAAAGATTCCCAGGATGTTTGCAACCTGTATGGTGCAATAGGTGACAGCATTGTTGTGCCTCTGAACCACAAGCTGGACAAAGCGTCAGTTTTAAAATGGAAGCACAATGATACAATAATCTTTGAGCAAAGAAAAAACAAATCTCCTAATCCCATATATGTCAAGGGAAAAAAGGACGACATTAATCCAGATGGATCCCTAAAACTGACAAATCTAGATGCAAATGACTCAGGAAACTACATCCCAAAGGTTTACAGTCAAGATGGAGCATTAGAAAGCAATATGAAAATCACACGTTTATGTGTTTTGGGTAGGTGACACCAGATTAGAGTTATTCTGGTTCCATGAATATATAATCGTTCCTTTTGCATTACTATTTATACCTTATCTGGAGCAGAGATAAAAGGTTGCAGTCACCTGAAAACATGCCACTGTGTTACCTTATCAGCTGAGTGTTTTTACAAAAGCTGATATAGTTTAATAATGAATTTTTGCTACTCATTAAATGTGTACTGATGAATCGGCATCTGTTATTAGTTCCTGTGTATTCATTGTTTATTTAATAATTTATCAGCAGTACTTTCTGATGGTATTGCTATAATCAAATCTTCTCTTCTCAGCCCGTGTACAGAAGCCCAGAGTGAAGATAATGTGTCCAAACAAGTCAGAAGTCAAATTTACTTGCGTTGTTAGTCAGGTAAGAATAATATTTCATGTCTTTAATTTAGATTTAAATGACAATGTTTTCCTCTGCCTAAATGCTGATGTTAACTCTTTTAATTGGATGTAAATTTTCCATGTAATTTTGTTATATAAGTACAAGATAAAATGTTACATTTAACAAAATCTGGTCAAATGAAGTGTACTTGATTGGTGTACATTCAGATTATACCAGGCATATTTTCCTTAAAGTTTAAATTAGCTTAAAGTTTACTGTTTACTTCACCTCATCCTCATCCTCTGGAAGATTTAGCTACACTTGCTGATAAAGATACTAAGATATGGTTAAGAATTTATTTAGGAGTGATATTTTCCCATCTTTGTAATTTTGTAATTGTTTGTGTTTACTAATTTCACACACTAATAAAAACAAACAAGAGCACTTAAAGAGTGCAACTCCCCCTTAAGGGCAAGGGCTATACAAAAACTTGGTGTTCTATGATGATGTTATTACAACACCCTGGCGTCAGTCTTCTTGTATTACTACATGCTGATGTCTGACCTTTGACCTTGACATATTACACATTCAATTTTGCATTTTATTATCTTTACCCACATGACTGAAGCAGACTTGGCTGAACTTTGACTTCTATAAGCTGTAAAAACTTGAGGTTTAAGATTAAACCCTGAATGATGCCAATCCATGATTGATATTTTCTTCTGCAGAATGATTTTAACATCGAATGGCTGATGGAGGGTAAAAGGTTGAAAGAAAAAGAGATGACACTGACAAGAGTAGCCAAAGATGTAGTAAATGCCAGTTTCTCTTGTAATGTTTCGAACCCCGTCAGCTCTGAGCTGAGTCTGCCTGTTCAACAAAACTGCTATGCGCCCCGTAAGTATTAGTTTACTCAATTTCCTTTCCAACTGTCTAAATATTGACAAATCAAATTCATTATGGTTACAATTGCTGACAAACTGGAGTCAGTTTTTTGTTTTAGTTTTAATTTCCATTCAACTTTTGAGACTTTTTAATAATAAAGAATACAAAGTTGCACTGTACTGCAAAGCTGAGTCACTTTTACTACACGTTTATGTGTGCATGGCTTTTATGCAGACTGTGGTGTGAAGATAGAACATATAATTATCCAACCTCAAGTGACAAGTGACAAGGCAGGACGCCCACAGAGTTTCATTTCATAGTCCGCTGTACAATCAGTCTGAAGGACAAACGCTGTTGCGTGTGCACAAAAATTTAGAATAGAAAGGAAACCAACCAAACACAAATCAGTCTATATAGGTAATAACTAGTATTCGAACAGCTCTAAGTGACTAGACCTTTAGTGTCAGACGATATTCTAAAACATCAGCTGACTGTCAATGATTCGTCAACTTAGACATTGTATTATATTTTGCATTGTGCATTGTACTGGACCCCCCTCCACCCCCTCCACCTTTTGACAGACAGTGTAGTCTGTCAAAATAATGGTTAATATTTAGTATTTGCTGTTATATTCCCATATATCATCGTGATGTTGTTTATTGTATTGCTCTCGTTTTCTTCTGCTCGTTTTCTTTTTTCTTTCTCAACAGGTGATCCAGGTGATTGATATATGTAGTTTTTATTTTATTTATTTATTTATTTATTTTTTTTTTTGTCTGCTTATTTAGTTGGTTTTTGTTTTTTTGCCCTTTATCCCGGTCCCTCTTCTCCGCTGTTTTTTCCTCCTCTTCCTTTCTCCCTTTTCTTTTCCTCATTCAAGTCTGTCCCGTATCTAGCAAGTGAAAATAAAAAAAAAAATAAAATAAACAATAAAAGGTGAATCAAATAGACCATTATGGCAAGGCTGGGATGGTCAGCTTGGTAAAGTAAATCCGTTGGGCATCTTTCTTCGCCTTTAGACAATAATTCTGACGGCAAAAGAACCAAACGGGACAGGCAAAAAAAAAAAGCATTTTTTCAAGTTACAATTCAGATTCAATCTGAGCAATTCAAATTCAAATTTAACTTATTCAAATTCAGTTTCTGATGGCACAGATTTCTGCCCATATAAATCCTTTATTGACATTCAATATTTACTTTGATTGGGCAAACAGAATTAAATGTTTCATTGACGTTGGTGCTAGAGTTTTTGTGGGTTTGTGCATTGGTAAACAGGTTTCTTACGTTGTTGTAGCACGACTTAGCATCAGAGAAAGTGGAATTTCTGTGTTTCTTGTGTGTACATGATTTCCTGATCCTTACAGTTGCCTGAGTACTAAAAGAATGTTTTGTCCCAGATTTTCTTTCTCTCGTTTTAACAAAATGTATTTATTAATTTTCTAGATGGATTTTTACGTCATTTTATAAAGCAATCCTAGGAGATTAAGATGAACCTAAGCTTTTGGATGTACATGTGCATCTATATAGATATACTACTACATTACAGTTACAGCTATGGAGGGCTTATTTTTATTAGCCTGGCAATTAAAGGTGCTTTATATCCAGAGCTATTTGATCATCAGTAGATCGCTTTGTTATTTAAATTATCCTGATTAAATTAAGAATTTTCAAATTACTTTTGAGTAAAGAACAATTGAATTTGAATCACAAACTACACCAACCTTTTGTCGTGAAAGGAACGAATATGTTAAATTACTGTCAAGGCTGCATTCATTAAAACTTTAATCACAACTTAAAAAAAAAAAAAAAGACAGACAGTGTAGTTTTGTAAACAATCAGAGAAATTGTAGGTAGACAATTTATTAAAATGTTCTGTAACGCTAAAGGTTTGGAAGGTAGCAGTGCTTGTGCTATATGTTTGTATTTAGAGCCAATGCTACGTGCTAAGAAACCTCCTACAAGTAGACTAATGTCAAAAAAAGCACAGTTTCAAGAAAAATAAGAAAATAAGCATGAAATGTTTCTACTAGGCAGGTTTATACTGTATATAGGGCTGATATAACCAGGGGTGCACATAGGTGGTCCACAGGTGCGAATGCGCTTTCAAAATAAAAGACGCGCACCAGCTAAGAAGTTGAAACGCACGTTTGCATACATAAGATTTTCTGGAGGAGGACAGACATTTGTTTAGAACTCTTAAAGATGTCGGAGAAGCAAACTCCTTTAAGCAATTACTGTGGTGTTCCCCCACCTCCAAAGAAATGTCAGGAGTTTGAATTGCAAAAGAAGCGCGTATTCTCAGAAAAGTGGTTGCAGGAGGTGAGCTGGCTTCAAACAAATGATGAACGCACAGAGAGGTGGTGCAGAATATGCCGTGGAAAATCCCACTCTAGTGGACAAAAACAGTCCACTAGAGTGGTCTGAGATGTGATACAGATATATAGTAGCGTTGAAACTATGAAATGCCTAAAATTAGAGCTCTAAAGTTGACATAAAAAGATCATAATTTCATTGAATATTTGATAAATATACGTATAACTGTACAGAGCTTTTCTAACATGGCTAACCTAAAGTTTCTGATGAAAGTTTGTTGTTGACATTTTCTCTTTCAAAGACTCTCAGGATGGTTGTGATGAGTACGCTGCAACAGGCTCAAGTTTTACTGTGCCCCTTAAGCATAAGTTACAGGAATCTGAGAACCTGAGATGGTTCCACAACACAACAATAATCTTTAATAGCAAATTAGACAAGCGGACCAAGAGGAACACAAGGAAAGACTTCTTTGTTGATTCAACTGGATCACTAAAGCTGACAAAACTGATGAAAGACAATTCGGGACAATACGCGCCTATAGTTCATGACGAAGAAGGAAGAAATGTAGCACATTTACTGAGCTTGAGTTTGTGTGTATTAGGTAGGTAACAACCCATTGTGAATATGCTTCTTCTAGCTAAACAAATATACTTAGAAAAAGGTTGATATAATCTTTTTTTCTTTTCTTTTTTTACTCAGACCCTGTGCAGAAGCCAAACGTAACGATGAAATGCACAGGCTCTACAATAAATGTCAGTTTCACTTGCAGTGTTGATCAGGTGAGGACAATATTTAATTTGAGTTCTTTTCAAACAGTTAACACATATCATGCATTTTAGGAATCTGTAGACAATGGACTTTATTTCTTTTGCCCCCAAACCGAGCATGATTTAAACTGTGCTGACGACAATCATTCACTCACAGATGCTGCTGTATCAATGATGTTATGATTTGATGAAAGTTGGGCTGCTTCTCATGCTCTTTGATCACATCATTAGTTAATGACGAGGTGTTTACAAGTGGCTCAGACACCACTGTACTGCCTTTTCAGAGACTTCCTGATCCTCCTTGATATCTAACTCCACCTACATATGACATGTCTTTCATCAGATATGGAGAGAGATCAATTTCTGTGGGGTTTTTTTTATCTTTCTTGTTTTTCATATATGCTTTGCATATTTGTTCATTTAAACCTTAAGAAAATAATAAATATCTTAAAGTATTTTTACTTTCCAGAACTTCTACACTTTTATTTTTAACTAATTAATTATTATCATTAATCATAATTTCTTCTAAAGAAGGAAAACTATTTGGAATATAAATGGCTTACAAAGGATAAAGAGTTAGAAGGAAATCTGAAGGACACGCTAACAAAAAAAGCTGAAGATGTGATGAACCTCCCCATCGCTTGTAATGTTTCTAACCCCGTCAGCTTTGCCATCAGTGAGCCTGTTTACCAAGAATGCTTAAAGCTTTGTGAGTAGTATCTACAATTAACTGTACTTTAAAAGATTGAAATGACAATTTTATGATACTCATTTTACAATAACCTTAGATTTTTTACAATAACCTTAGATTTTTCTCTTTGTGTTTTACTTTGTAGATGTCGCTGGTGAAAAATCTGGACCAAACATCTGGGTTTTTGTGCGCTTTGGAGCCGGTAGGTTTCAACTTCTGTATAAAGCCCATACATTTTTCATATAAATGCTGAAATAAAATGAGCACATTCTTAATTTTTTCCAGTTTTTTACAAGTAATACAATTTGCTCTTATTTTTTGCACTCATCAGGTTTTTTTCTGTTGTTGCTCCTCACTGTCATTGTTTGTGCAACCAGCCTCACACAGAAAAATAAATATGCAATAAGAGGTAAGATTTATTATTTATGTATGTGTGCATTTATTTATATTACGATTGATATTATTATAATTTATTTTTAAAATAAAAACCTCTGATCTCAGGTAGAAGCTCAAGGCCAGTTTATGTTACACTTGATGTCTCTCATAACCTCCCAGTCACTATTGTGCAGTACGTAAAGGTTACTTGTGGAGCAATCAAGGCTCATTGTTAGGACCATTTAATTAAATTATTTATAATTAAATTATTTAAATGTTGGGGGGACAAACACAGTTTCTACCTTTTTCTTTGGATATTTTTTCCCATTTAATACCTAACACTTATTTATGTGTGAGACTCTTAATGTTTAATTTCAAATTATCAATTTGGCTGTGTTGTGATTCTTTTTTTAATTATAGGGTTACAGGGTCATTGTTCTCTTAGTTATAAAATCTGTATTTTTGTATCCATGCAGTCTATGGGGCACAGAAATGTAATACAAACGGTTACATTTCTATTTCTTAACACACGAACTAAATATCATGCACAGATTGGGTGCAGTAATTTCATGTAAGGTAATTATCCAGGTGCAACCTGTCTGTGCTTATTTTAATAGACAAGGAGGAGTTTCCTTTGAGCCAGTCAGGAACAGAGACAACAGCAGCAGCAGCAGTTGGTCAGCTACACAAATAAAACTAGAGCCTGACTTCTGTGGAAACTGGTCTGGAGAGAGAGACAAACATTATCCCGTCAACCAGGCTTCAGACAGGCTTTGACTTTTAAATCTTTCATTTTGAAGGAAAATATTTGCTGGGCAGGTTCATCTTGGCTGTAAGAGGACTTTTGTAGCATAACAGATGTAATTTCTCATGTGATTCATGTGATTCTTATTTCTAATTTAAAAACTCTCAGGATGACAGACAATATCTTTGTTGTTGTTTACGTCACGCACTCAGACTATGCGTCAGATCAAAAGTCCTGCCATCTGCAGAATAGAAACAAGAGCGAGGACCATTTGGTTTGAGACAGACCAGATGAAATGTATGACTGCAGCTATTTAAAGGATTTCGATACGATGATGAGCTCACCTGAAATACTCTGATTGGCTGATACACAGATAAGGGCAGCCTTGGCAGAGACACCCACCGAGAGAAATCATTTAACAGTACAATGTCATCTTTGTTTGTTCTGCTGCTGCCACAAACTCGCTCCATCACAAGATCACATCAGGACTCAAAGAAGAAGCCAGTGTTTTTTGTGACAATCAATCAATCAACCACATACTCAGATTGAATTAATAATGCCCATGAGCTGCTTTCATCCCTGTTCTTCTTTTACATACATAAATTCTACTTTTTAGTCTTGTAACTTAAAATCAACAACTTCACAATCATGACTGATGTGAGTATAATCACAAAATAATTTCATTTAATAAACAAAATTCATCAAAAATATGTCTTAAATATGAAATATGATGTGATTGTACTTGTGTCTTATTACAGGAGGTGAAGTCATTTTACTGTTGGTCATCCAGCTGCTCACATACAGTATATTTCTATAAATTCATATTTCATGGAGTATTACAGTTATAATACAGTAAGGGTTCTTCCAGTTTGCACACATATGTAATGCAATGGCGCCACCCTGTGAACAAGTGTGAGTAGTGTAAGGTACCTTTTTTATATCATTTTGTAGTTTTACTGAATGTAATTTTGAGCTTTTGAAGAAGCAAATTAAGTTATTATTTTGCAAAACATCCGCATTAACCAACTATTTGCTCCAACTACTGGGTTCTGGGAACACGTTTCTTTTTCATTCTGGAAGCTTCATACGTGTCCATTAATAGTGTTACACTAGACCACATTTGGAAACTCTACCACACAAAAGAGAGAGAGTCTTGCTG